ACTTGTTCAGAGTACAGTTGTATCAAGTATTTAGTTCCAACACCACCAGTGAGACCTTCCCTTCATGATTGTTCCCCAGTTTCCTCCCAATCCAAGCCTGCTGCCGTAGGCACATATAAAATTAACTTTATATTGCTCGCTCCATTACCTCCACTACCCAGCCGCGGAAGCCCTCCAGGATGCATGCTGGACCGCAGGTGCAAAGCGGCCACGTGATACATCATAAAAAATTTAATACAAGATTACTGTACCATATTTGAATGCGTTGAAATGTGGTTTGAAGCATGGGAACACCTGTTAGGGCGATTAGAATCTGCCCTAAAAGCCTCTATCCCTCTCGAAGAGCCTGGCAAGTTGCCGAGAGTGTTCCGCCCACATGACAGAGCCTGACAAGCTATCCGTGTTGTATTCGATATGCCAAAACCAGTAAATACAATGGGTCCCATTCTCCTGACCCTGAAAGAGCCACCAATATGGCAGCATTAAGAAGGATGAGGAAGGAGAGGCTCATAAAATCTCAGGGCTGACCTAGGGTGCCAAAACGAAGAAGGACAAAAATGACTGTCTGTACTTTCAATGCATGTACGCTGGCATCGGATGCATCCATTGAGGACCTGATGGTGCAAGCAGGGAAAAATCAAGTATGACATCATTGGTCTGACCGAGATGAGAAGACGTCAATCACATCACGCCGTTTTCAACACTGGGGAAGAACTCTTCCTTGGAACATGAGACAAAAGAGGTGTCGGTGGTGTCAGTGTCCTTGTCAACATGAACTTGGCCATAAACATTGATTCATTCGAATGCCTAACAACCCGATTTGGATGATTACATTTGAATAGATGTGGCTCACTGCCAGCAGTTTCTATCTTTGTTGTCTATGCACCAACATCCAAGTATGATGAAGGAGAAATTGAGAAGTTCGACATGGAGCTGGAGAAATTCTATAAAGAATACCACACCTTCTACAAAATCATTGTCGGTGATTTTAATGCCAAATCATTGTCGGTGATTTTAATGCCAAGATAGGACTGAGAAGATCAGCTGAAGAACTCCACATCGGGACCCATGGCTTAGAATGGAATGAACAGGGTGAGAGACTGTCAGAGTTCATCGTGTCGACCATAGTAACTCACAATTTCAGAAGGCCGAATCTAAACGTTGGACATGGGAGTCTCCCGGTGGATGATTCCACAATGAAATTGACCATATCATATTCAATTGACGGTTTTGCCTGACTGATGTCGCTGTTGTCCCAACATTCCAAACGGGATCAGACCACCGTCTCCTTCGTGTAAAATTCTACTTCACAGAGTGGGGAGAAAAGGCTGCAAAGTTTAAGAAGAGAACTCCCAGAATGACCATCAACTGGGAGCCCTTTGGCAATATTGCAGAAACATGGGAAGATGCCGTCATTGACAATATTTATGAGGAATACGATTGACTAGTTCAGCACCTCCATGATTGTGCAAGAAATGCCGAGAGAGAGAGAGAGAGAGAGAGAGAGAGAGAGAGAGAGAGAGAGAGAGAGCGAGCTGCAAAAAGACTCTCAAGCTCATTTGCCAACATGGCTTGGCGCAAGCCTCAAGCAACCACAAGCGAAGTTCCAAGCTTGCAAAGCAGTGCAGAGAAGTGATAAAGGAAGACCTCAAAGAGAGAAGAGCAGCTGTGCTGCAGATGCGGCAGAAGCTGGGAAAAGCATTCGCAATGCCCACCTGTTCTTCGCCAACTACAAGATCAAGATGACTGCCTTCCAACATCCTGATGGATCTATCACATCTTCCAGAAGGACAATGGAGAAGATTATCCATGACTTCTACTCGGATATCTTTGATAGCCGCATCCATCTGCCCACATACCAAACTCCGCAGGATGTATAAATTGTTCCCAAAGTTCTCCCTTCTGAGATCCAACATGCCATTTTGTCAGTAAAGAACCGAAGAGCACCTGGCCCAGACAAGGTCAGACCCAAACACCTGAAGAATCTGCCATCAGTACTCATCAATACACTGGCTCAGCTTTTCACATGCTACCTGTCTGAATGCAAGGTTCCATCCCAATGGAAAACCAGCAGGACTGTACTACTGTACAAGAAGGGAGACATCCATGACATTGGCACCTATGGCCCGATCTGTCTGTTGTCTGTCATCTACAAGCTGTTCACTCAAGTCATCCTGAATAGGATTGGCAGAACACTAGATGAAGGACAACCATGTGAGCAAGCCAGTTTTTGAAAAGGATTTAACACAATCGACCATATCCACACAATAACCAAGCTCATTGAGATTTCTCGGGAGTTCAAGATGCCGCTCTGTCTAACGTTCATCGATTTAAAGAAGTCCTTTGATTATGTTGAGACTGAAGCAGTCATCAAGGTCCTAGCCAAATGGGGAGTTCTAGCTCAATATATCAGGATCCTCTGTGAGCTGTATTATGTATTCACTACCAGGATCTTACCATTCTACAGGGTGGTGATCATTGACATCAAGAGAAGGGTTCGGCAGGGTGATACCATTTTTTTTTTTGCTTTTTGGGTCACATCAGGCGATGCACAGGGGTTACTCCTGGCTCTGCACTCAAGAGTTACTCCTGGCGGTGCTCAGAGGACCATATGGGATGCTGGGAATCGACCCCAGGTTGGCCACTTGCAAGGCAAATGCCCTACCCGCTGTGCTATCTCTCCAGCCCATGGGTGATACCATTTGACCGAAACTCTTCAGTGCCACCCTCGAGAATGTCATGTGACGACTGGAATGGGAAGGAATGGGAGTGAAGATAGATGGTCGGCAGCTACACCACCTCCACTTCACTGATGACATCGTTCTTATAAAACCAAACATCAGCCAAATGGCACAAATGTTGGCCGACTTCATCCCTGAGTGTGGAAAGGTCGGACTACAGCTGAATCTAACGAAGACAATATTTATGAGAAATGGTCTAGTTCCTGACGTTCCATTTACTCTCAATGGGACGAACATCTTCGAATGTAACAATTGTGTACCTAGATAGAGAAGTCAACATGACGAATGACCTGGCACCTGAGTTGTGCAGGAGGAAGAGAGCAGCTTGGAACGCCTTCAAGAACGTTGAAGAAATAGCTAAAAGGACAAAAAAACTCCAACCCCAGGCACATCTTTTCAACTCCACTGTTCTTCCTGCATTAACATACCCCTCAGAGACCTGGGCCCTACGAAAGCAGGATGAGAACACTATTTGGGTCTCCCAAAGAGGAATCGAAAGAGCTATGCTTGAAGTATCACGTTTCATTCAAATGAGAGAAAGAATCCAGAGTTCCGACCTTCATCGACAGTCAAGAATCAGGGATGCTGTCTCATTTGCCAAGTCGTTGAAAATGAGATGGGCTGGACACATAATGAGATTTGGAGACGACCGCTGGACTAGAGCTATTACCGACTGGATTCCACAGGACATCAAAAGATCGCGTGGCCACCCACCTATGAGATGGTCGGACTTCTTCGTCAAGACCCTGAATGATCGGTTTGAGGCTCTTCGTGTTCCTAGAATGAGCAGGTGCCATTGGGCTACATTAGCACATGACAGGGATGAATGGAGACGTTACTGGCACCCGCTTGAGCCAGTCGTTGAGTAAAGGGATGTCAAGTCATCAAATGATTAAGTGATTGCTTGCTCAAACAAAAATTTAAAAAAAGTGTTCAAAGGCTACTTTATTTAACAACAATTGATGAGTGAATTGGGGATGAAAATTAATAGCATCCCCCATTTTACCCAGCAATACCACTCCTGGGAATATATCCCGGAGAGGCAAAAAAGTACAGAGGAATGACATTTGCACTTCTATGTTCATTGCTGCACTATTCACAATAGCCAAAATCTGGAAAAAACCCTAGTGTCTGAGAACAGATGACTGGTTAAAGAAACTTTGCTACACCTACACAATGGAGTACTATGCAGCTGTTAGAAAAGAAGAAGTCATGAAATTTACAAACAAGTGGTACTACATGAAAGTGTTATGCTAAGTGAAATGAGTCAGAAAGAGAGGGACAGACATAGAAAGATTGCATTCATCTGGGGAACATAAAGTAACAAAATAGAAGACTAACACCCAAGAATAGCCGAAGGAGGTTCACACTATGGCTTGGAGGCCAGCCGCACATGCTAGGAAAAAGGCAGCTCAGATAGAGAAGGGAGCACCAAATAAAGGGTGTTGGGAGGATCCTCTCAGGATGAGAGATGCATGCTGAAAGTAGACTACAGACCGAACATGATTGCCACTCAATGCCTCTTTTGCAAACAACAGCACCCAAAAGGAGAAAGAAAACAAAAGAGAATGCCCTGCCACAGGGGTGGGGTGGGATGAGGGGGGTGGAGGGTGGGAGGGATACTGGGAGCACTGGAGGTGGAGAATGGGCACTGGTGGAGGGATGGGTACTCAATCATTTTATAACTGAAACTCAAGCACAAAAATTGTAAGTCTACAACTGTACCTCATGGTGTTTCACTAATAAAAATTAAAAAAAAATCAAGAGCATCCTTGAATTTCACCTTCCCTTCAACCAGTTCCAGATCTTCCTATTCTCCCCCCCCCCCCCCCCCCACCGCCTCCCCAATTCCTTTCTTAGTGAATGAAGAACGCAATCCCCAAAGCTCTGGTACAAACCCCGGGCTATTTCCCTAGCTCTGCCCTTTCCTCGGCCTCTCTGAGACAGCAGGCACCTCAGTTTGAATGCATGGGAGAGCCCAGAGCAGTGACAGCCATCAGGGGAAAGGCCTCACCTTCAGGGAAAGGGAACGAGGAATAGAGTGTAGTGAAGTGAGAGCCGCCGTAGCCTGGGGTACCAAAGTGGGGCCCTGGTGCCAGAGGAAAGGATATGGGGGCCCCTGTGAAAGGAGACCCAGTAGCCTCATAATCCTCCCGCTGGACGTAGTCACTGCTGGATTGCTTGCCCTTCTGGCGGTGGTTACAGAACCACACTTGGATCAAGTCCTTCTCGAGCCCGAGCTGCTGGGCAATGTGGCTGAAAAGTATGGAACGCTTCACTAATTTGCATGTCTTTCTTGCACAGGGGTCATGCTAATCTTCTTTGTATCATTCCAATTTTAGCGTATGTGCTGCTGAAGCGAGCACACTCCAACAAAACTTAAAGAAATGACAAATAGAATGATGAGAACATAAATCAGTAAAATTCATTTTGTGATTGCTGTATGATTTTTAACCCATATAAATAAGGAAATTAAAACAATTTAATACAATATAATAAAATGCCTACCCTTATTTACATAAGTACATTTTCAGTTCAGGAATCTAAAATATATTGCATTAAATTTTATTTTGCACTTGGATCTCATTATGGTAATAATCATGTCTTATTTGTCAATAATAAAAACTGGTGGAGGGATGGGTGCTTGATCATTGTACAATTGAAACCCAAGCACAAAAATTTGTAAATCTACAACTGTACCTCATGGTGTTTCACTAACAAAAATAAAAAAAATGTAAATGATGGAGAATGGGCACTGGTGGAGGGATCGGTACTGGATCATTGTATAACTGAAACCCAAGCACAAAAATTTGTAAGTCTACAACTGTACATCACGGTGTTTCACTAATAAAAATTAAAAAAAATAATATTTTTCTTGGCTTATAGATTTTTGGGGTTTACATGAAACAGGTAAGGCCTACATATGTAAATTTTTTTTGCCCCGCACTTTGCTTAAACAGCAAAGTTTACAAAGTAATTGATGATGATTTGTTACAGACGTTCAATATTCCAGGATCAATCCCACCACCACTATCACCTGCCCTCCACCATGGTCTCCAACTTTCCCAACCACCCCCATGGCAGGCCCACAATAATTTATTTTATATTACTTCCCACCAACAAATTGCTAATGGAATGATCAAACCTATTTACTTGTAAGAAAATTACTGAAAGTCGTTGTATCTTACAATGGAGACATTAGGTCTTTGTTCTGAGGGATTACTAAAATGTCATTACACATGAAGCATTCTGTGTTCATGCTTCTGTTAGTTGAGACTGGCTGATTTCCATGTGACATCCCATCCGAACTGATGTGTTCCTGCTGGATTGCCAGTGTTGAAGAGTTTGGAAAGTTCTCTCGGCCATGAGAGTCAAAAGGCCTATTTCTCAATGTGTCACAATTGGAGGCTCAGGGCTTTAAGATTCAGCCTATGAATGGGAGGGCCATCGAAACCCAATACAATTTCTAACAGGGGGTTATACTGATGGGTTTTAAAATTTATATATTTATTTATTTTTGGAGTCACAAATGGTGATGCTCTAAGTTTCCTCCAAGCTCTGTTATCAGAAATCTCTCCTGTCAGGGCTGTGATGACCAGAATCAAACCCAATTTTGTCACATGCAAAGCAAATGCCCTCCTCACTCTACCGGCACTCCAGACTCATGAATTTATGGTCTCTTAAAGGGCGTTTGGCTACATGCAGAAAATAATCAAGAGAGGCACAGGACTGAGAGGTAATGTTACTTTTTCACACAAATGTTGATTCTTTCTTTGGACAAATGTTTGATTTGTTTTGTTGTATTTTAAACAAATGGTCTTGATCTTCTTAGCCTCTAAAATCATGAACCAAGAACGGTTTGTTTTGTGTATAAGTCCATGTATCCATGTGTCCGTGGTGAAACTGAAGGTACCATGTTCATCACAGCATTATTGACATATGTTGGATATATGTGGAGAACAATACTTGAAGAGGGACTTACTCATTTTGTTTAAGGAGCCTTCTTAAACAAAATGAGTAAGATGGTATAATAGGTAAGTCATGCGGCTGACCTGGCTTCAATCTGCAGCATCCCACATGATATCCGAAGTACCACCAGTGTGCAAAGTCAGGAAAAAGCCCTGAGCATTGTTGGCTGTGGATCCCAAACCAAAAACTAAATTGTTCCTATGTGTTCTTTTATATTACTTAGTTGTGGTTCTAATGAAATTTCATAAAATGGGTTGATGTATGAACAACAGAAACTTATTTCTCACAGTCTAAGATGAAGCTGCCAGCAGATTCAGTATTTGGTGAGAATTGATTTCCTTTTTCACAGAGAAAAGGATTTCCTCCTGGGTCTGTGCTCAAGGATGACTCCTGGTGAAGTTCAGGGGATCACATATGATACTGGGGATCAAAACTGTATTGTTTTCCGGCAAGGTGGTGTCTTCCCATTGTCTTTTTTAGAGACTCTCTCTGAAAAACAGTCTGTCTGAACCCCAATTTGTTCCCATCTCTCTCTGGAAATGTGCACATAAATTACACCAATGGAGAAACAGTGGATCCCACACTCAGAGGCACAAGGACAATAGGACCATTTGCTCTGAGTCAGGCCCTCCATTCTCCTCAGCAGCATTGGATGAAGATGACTGACATGGTCAGGAGAGGTGTCATGCTGCCTCATGGCCTCCTGTTGGCTCTCTGAGACTCACCTTACAGAGACAAAACTCAACAACTTTTAGAGAGACTAAGAGTGTCTCAGTGATATGTGGCTTGTTGCTCAGATCACAGAGTTTCTTTTTGAGCAATATGCTTGCGTAAACAACTGACTATTGCTCCAAAACACATGTTTCAACTATTTCAGGGCAAGACCAAAGGATTTCTTATGCATGATTATGGCAAAGGACAGCTTGCATGCAGTGAGGTTCTGTCTCATGACGAGAAAGGGGCTTAAAGAAGAAAAACACAGAGAAAGAATCCTGAGAGTCGGTAACCAGCCAGTTTCATCAATCAGGAGAGCCACAGACATATGAAAGAAGGAGGAAAGTGTGTGGAAACACACAAAGAAGCTCACCAGAACCAGGATTCGGTGGGTGGCTCTGGACTCAGCTGAGGGTCTGCAGGGAACATTATACCTGTGAAGGTGTTGGACTCTTTGCTTGTGCCTGTAGAGGAAGAAAATCATGGAGCCACTGGCCCAGACTATGAGTACAGACGAGAATGAGATTTCAGGGAATACAATTAACACCGAATATAGTGGGCCAGAGACGTTCTCATGCCACGAAGAATAACAGTAGTCAAAATATCGTTTCATTGTGATATTTCTTTTTTTTATACTTTTTAAAAATAATTTTATTTATTTATTTATTCATCTTATATTTATTTATTGAATCACTGTGGAAAAAGTTACAAAGTTTTCAGGTTTAAGTCTAGGTCATACAATGATCAAACACCTTCCCTTCACCAGTACTCATTTTTCACCACCAAGAACCCCAATATACCCTCCTCCAACCCCTCACAATGCCTGTGAGGCAGATGATTTCTACTTAACTTTTCTCTATATTGATTATATTCATTATTTTGACAAAAGTTGCACCATTATTGTTTAGAATTTCCTCTCCAACAATCAGAATTGCTGAAAAGGCATTGTGAAATACTTTGTTTTCTATAGCTGGTTATGAGAGTCATATAATGTCATATAATGATTTCGGATTTCTGCAAAGAGCCAGATAATTACGAGATTGGTTTCTGTGCGTCTGGTGTTATGGCTGTGCCGTAGAGACACTTGTGGGGGGGCAACACGTGACCTCGGTAGGGCATGAAGGAAGAGCCTGTACGGCCCCCCTTCCCATGAGACTGCAGTTACCCCGTCACTGCCAGCTCATACCTGACTTTCCTACAAGCTCTGAGGAGGCAGCCACCCTGCTGCCGGGGGGTGGGAGGGAGGCGGAAGGGAGCAACACCCTTTCCGTCCCAGGGAGGCATGGTGCCGTATTTTATTTATTTATTTGGCAAATGCCTTACCCGATGTGCTATCGCTCCAGCCCCGGCACCGTATTTTAACACATGGTCCATTCATTTTTCTGCCATAAGCTGCCGGGCCCTGGATTAAGTCCTTTTGCCTCTGGAGCCATGGCCATTCCAGAGAGCCGCTCTTGGGGGGCAACTCGTGACCTCGGTAGGGCATGAAGGATGAGCCAGTACCATCCCCCTTTCCATGAGATTGCAGTTGCCCCATCGCCCCATCACTGCTGGCTTGTACCTGGCTTTCCAATAAGCTCTGAGGCGGCGGCCACCCTGCTGCCGGGGGGTGGGGGGTAAGAGAAAGGCGGAAGGGAGCAAAAACCCTTTCCCTCCCAGGGAGGTATGGCGCCGTAGTTTAACGCATGGTCCATTCACTTTTCTGCCGCAAGTTTTCAGGCTCTGGATTAAGTCCTTTTGCCTCTGGAGCCATGGCCATTCCAGAGAGCCGCTCATGAGGGGCAACTTGTGACCTCGGGAAGGCGTGAAGGATGTGCTGGTACTGACCCCCTTCCCATGAGACTGCAGTTGCCCCATCACCACCAGCTCATACCTGGCTTTCCTATAAGCTCTGAGGCGGTGGCCGCCTCATATGCGGTCCAGACGCATTTCTGCCAAAAGCCACTGGGTTTCGAGATTTGTTTCTGAGTCTCTGGGATCATGGCCTTTAATCAGCTTGATCAGGAGCCAGAGAAGCCATTTGTAGGCGGAGACTTGGGGTCTCATTGGGATGGAGAGGAAGGGCCAGTTCCAGCATCTGGTGAGGCCCCGCGTGTCTCGTCACTGCACCCAAACCTAAATGTCCAGTGGCCTCTGGAGGATGGTGGTCACCAGGCTGCCAGGGGGAACAGGCCAAGGTACAAAATCTATTCCCACCTGGAGTGGCCTAGCGACAGTAACCTACTGCAGGAACAGGCTACATTTCTGCTGAAAGTCTTTGGGGTCCCAGATTTGTTTCTGAGTCTCTGGGATCATGGCCGTTAACTAGTTAGATCAGGAACCGAAGAGGCCATGCTTCCAATTATATAGCTGAGCTGGAGGTGGTTTGTGGGCATGTCTCCCACATACTTAACTTTTGACCGTTTACTTTTTTGGTAAACTTTGCCCCAAGTTTTTTGGGTTTGGCCCAAGGCACAGCAGCAATTTTGAGGTATCTGAAAGTCTGACGGTGCCATCAGGCTGCTGATGCACTCGCCTCACAGGTACAGATTGACCTGCTGGCGGCACTTTACCCCCAACATTTCTTTTTTTAAAAAAATAATTTATTTATTTATTTATTTAATTTTTATTAGTGAAACACCATGAGGTACAGTTATAGACTTACAAATTTTTGTGCTTGAATTTCAATTATACAATGATCAAA